AGGGGTGTGCTAACGGCCGCCCGGGGAACGGGCAGCACGCCGTGGTGCTGCTGCTGCCGGAAAAATAAATGCAAGCGGGCAGCTTCCAGCAGTAAATGCACAGAAGATGAAGGCAGGGATTAGCAGGAACAGCAGACAGCTGGTGGTGTGTAACGTGTTTATATACAGCAGCAGGACAAGCAGGGTGGCCACAGCCTTGCCACAGCCCTCTCAAGCGCTTCGGACTTTTTTGTGCTGCTAGAGATGCCTCATGCAGCCCCGCATTTATCACTAAAAGTCAGGATGAAGTACAAGCAATGCAGCATCAAGAGCAGATTGATCATGTCAAAGAACAGCCCCATCCAAGCTCCCTTCCCCCAGCAGAAATCATTCAGAACCCAGGCCGCAGGTGGAAAGCAATGAGCATTTTTCCCCATTCTCTTCCTCCCTCTTTGCAGGTAACTTGATTTTTCTTCTTGTCCTGCACCAGGATAATCCAGCTTCACCAAGGGGCTGACAGAGCTAAATAGTGTTGGTGAGCAGCTCAGTCACTTTCAGACGAGCTAGACAGAAAAATGAAAGAGGCAGCAATACTGATTTGTAACGAAACTGACTTTTATATAAATTATAAACCCATCCAGTTTAAAGCAGATCACTTGCAGTTGTGTCACTTAAGTCCATAGAAGGCTGAGGCAACATATCTTCTACAGTCATAAATTAACAATGAATAATCACGGAAGATAAAGTTCAGATAAGGCTGCAAATACAACAACAAACAAACCCCTCTAAGATTACTAGCGGTTAAAATAAAGTCATGATTATCAATGATTGCAAAATATAAATGCAATTTTTGAACAGTTAAAAAGTACAAAAATGATAGGCAACACAAACAGGCATTGTACATTTTGTCCTGTATGTAGACAAAGCAGGGTAGGACTTCTGACCTTTATCTACATCAGACACTGATTTTAAGCAAAGAGAAGAGTTGAGGAAATCTGTAAAAGGATCGTGGCTCATGATCCCAGTAGTACAAAAGCAGTATTTTTTCAGTCTGTAAACAGTAGTCTTGGTAGCTTCTTCTAGGTATGTTTTTCAATTGATCACACACACAAAAAAAAATCCAAAACAAGCAAACAAAAAAAATCTCAAGAGTGGAAAAGGGGGAACAGCAGCAATGGGTTATAGCTTGAATTTCTTATCAAGTCCCTGTGGGACATATTCTGGAGGGGAAACACTCTTTTGTAAGAAATATATAATATATTTAAACTGTACACAATTTATAGGGGGAAAATTCTCCCTCAACCAAGCCCCCGAACAGTCAGTACGTAGTCATTTTTGCACAGTCTCCTCCAACAGAAACTACAGCTTGTGAAGAGATGGCATCTGGTTTTATAAAACACCAAGTAATCAAAAAAATGTATTTGTTTGACAAGTTTATCATTTCAGTGACTGGAACTGGAAATGGGACAGCAGGTAACACCGAGAAAGTCAGTATTCCCTCTGTGCTGGCACGGGGATGGTTTGAGTGACCAGCCAGCGCTGGACCTGTGCCATCTCAAATGCTGACGGGAAGCGAGAGCGAGCCATGGTTCCATCTCTTCTCAGACTTTGCTTCAGATGACACACGTTCCCCCCAGCAGTTTCAATTCTGCTTTTAAGGGAGCTGATACAGAAAACCTTTTTTAAAGCAAGTTCTGCTTTCAGGCACATGGGAGGATTTTAAAAGCTTGGTTATATTAACCTTACACTTCACTTAGATTTTCACCATTGCTTATGGACAGGACCAGTTGAGTTCAACCTGTTGTAGCAGCAGTGGAAGGAAACTCCAGTATAAATCAGACCCTGGACTGTCCCCTCTGAAGGAGGGTGCTGTGTCAACTTTCCATTCAGTGCTGGTGTTTGCGCAAAGCCCTAATCAGCACTGCCATGGGGGAGGCAGGGGACAGGATCATCAGCAAGGGCAGCTGCCTCCTTGAGTGAGAAGGGGCAGTGCAGATTTCCAGCTCAGCACTTCTCTGCGAATTGCATGATCTCAGCCATGGGACTGCTTTCACTTACCCTACACATTTCAAAGCATCAGCTTCAGTCATCAGTCTTGCTTTAATTTAAGGAGCACATCCTTCTTTCCAAAAAGGTATTTCTATACAACATAAGGGTTCAGGGTGTGATTTTTTTTTTTTCTTCAGGAAAAGTATTACTATAAAACAGACTTAACACATTTTGGTATTCCTCCAGCCCAGAGCACTTACCAGACATTGCAATTAAACCATCAGGACATCCATTACAATTTAGACAACCAGCAGACATTCTTCTTTCCCTTTCAGGTTGGGGCAAAGCAAAACTAAATCCAGCAAGAGCAGCAATGGGAAAGTGTTTTTTTTTTTTGGTTTTTTTTTTTTTTTTTACACAGGGGATTTATTTTAAAAAAATACTCTCATCAACATTCTAGCATTACTAACAAACCATAATCAGAAGAGATGACAAAGGTAGGATTGTCAGCTCTCTAAAACTTTAAATATAGACGTCAGATACTAGCTGCTTTAAATCAGGAGATAAGAATCTGTAAAGTCTGACCTGTCCCTTGTATTGCAGGTACATGTAACTTTTTTTGTTGCCTACCAATTTTAGGCTGCATTACTGCTTTATAATGAAAAAACCCAGCATAAATGCAGATTCGGTGGAGCAGATGATGTGATTGCACTTTCTAAAAGAAAGCCTAATGAGCTAGTACTTGAATAATCAAAGATCAACTGCAAAAAGCAAGCATACAGTTACAAAAAGTATTCTCAGCCTCATACCACAGCGGAAGCAAAAGTTACCTCTGCCAACTTAAAACCAAAGCCAATAGGATTTAATTTCTATTAAAATATTTAAATCTTAAAGTTTCAGTAATCTAAATACACTTTTAAAAGTCATGATGATTGCTGTTTTACATTAAACTGACATGAAATCAGACTGCAATGTCAGACTTCACTGCAGCTATTATATACAAGGTCTCTGGTTTTGTCTTTTTTGCTGAAACACTGATTGCCATCTCTCTCTCTAAAGCTTAATGGCCAAGTTTGCTCCTCATCAGGTTTGCAATTTTTTCAAACGCATGCGCACTGACACCACCTCTTCCCTCCAGCAGTTCTCTCTTTAGAGGAACCTGCCTCACCACCTGTGACAGAGGGCTGGGCTCTGCTGGAAACCTGGCTGCAGAGGGTGTTCCTCCAGCACAGCCTCACCTCGCTCTGCTGGACCAACACACTGAATTATTTCAGTAGGACCAGGTGGCTTGCGGACAAAATAGGCAGCTCCAAAATGGGCTCACTTCATGGGAGGCAGCTGAACGCGGGCATCTACAATTACTGCATTTCTAAGGCAAGGACCATACAAAAATTATAAACACTGTATGGTGATGAAAATACAACTCCTTTGAGATATATGCTTTACACTGGATTTCTATTGCTGCTTCTAAAGACCATCTCCAGTTGTTTCTAGAGATCAAAAGGGAAGAAAGTTAATTTTCTCCTGTTGCAATATGCTTATGAACATGTATAAAAAGTGGTCAAACCCCAATAAGGGTCCCTGCTTCTCATTATGTACAATAATTTAAATCAGCTCAGTACATCTGTAATACCTAAAAAAAATTGTTTTATGACTTTAAGTCCTTCATGCATTATGAAGAAGTTCTGGATTAAAGTGATGGTATACGGGATGTTGCTTCTGTCTGGAACTCTGGTGTCACTCCCCTGTGGAGTCTGTCAAGGATGCATTTCTCAAATCTTTAGTTTTTTAATGGTATCAAGTCTCTTTTTCAGCAGTTCTCCAATTTCCTGAACTGAGTGATGGTAACTGCTCTGGACCTTCCCTTGCACAGTCTTTGTAAACTTTTTTTCTTCCTGCAAAACGCAAAAGAGAAATCATCACTCCACTGTAACTGTTTAAATCCTCCTGTTAAGCTTCCCCTACCATCTCAAACACTGATAAGAAATTCACACGGACCACAGTGTAAGTTCACAAAGGGAATGTCATCAGCACAGAGAAAGCAACACCTGCTCAGCAGCAGTAATTCCTGCAGATACTGGTATTGCCCAGACAGGGCTGGTAACACATTAACATTTCTTCAAAACTTCTGGAAACATCCTTGTGAAAAATATTTGTGGTTGAAATTGAGAGTGTGTGTAGCATTTTATTTTAGTCAGCATTTATTAAAGCAGAGAATTTCTTACACAGAAAAGTGAAGTCAAACAGCAAATGAACGCCAACCAACTAAGAGTCTTGCACCAAATTGCACAGTGAGCTGCAGTGCCTGGGACAGGCTCAGATGTCCCTAAATCAGCAACACTGGTACCTAGCTTTCCCAAAAGGACGAGATTCCTCTTAATGTGCAGTTTTCTAAAACATTCATGCTAAAAGGCTTTTAGGAGGACCACCATGATGCAGCATTGCTGGCATTGCTCCTGCAGGCACAGTGAGGTTAGCACTGACCCAACGATGCTGTATCTCTGTGTGCAGAAAGCAAATCCCGGTACCCAAAGCAGCGGCCACAACCACTGTTCTGTCAAGAGGTGACTTGCTATCAGGATGCCTTTTGCAGACACTCGTACAGATAACAGCAGAAAAGCCTGGGAGGCACAGCTGGAGCAACCCAATCCCATGTGGGAAAATCTCATGTTGGCGGCAAGGTTCAGCTGATACACTGCCAGTATCACCCCATTCACACCAGAATTTTCGCTAAACACGAGAACTTTTTCAAAAGCACCTTTTAGCTCTAAACACAGAGAGCGGCAAACATAGCTCCAGGTCTGAGCAGAGCTATGCAGACTGTATTTATCAGGATTTACTGTGACAATGTCAAACAGCAAACAGAATAGCAAACATTGTGAACAAACGCAGGAAAAGCTGCAGACTCCCACAGATGCTTCTGCTCAAATCCACGTGAATGTAGTAGTTGGGTTTTGCAGCTCTGCCATGTGCATCAAAGGGAAGATGGAAGGATTTGCTGATTCAGCGAGGAACCAGAAAAATTACAGATACACAATTATCTGAAAATGTCTTATCCCTTTGAAGTGAAGATTCTTTGGTGATACTACGAAAATGTACTTTTTTGGTTTTATTCAAATTTGCATTAAATACAGTCTAAGGGATTACCTTGCTTTCCCTCAGTTTTTGCAGTTTCTTTTTTTTTTTTTAATGTATCTTTGAGATACTTCTACATCAGCCTCATACACCAACAAGGGAAATTTTAAGTAACATGCTATAAAATAAACAGGACAATCTAATTGAAGTGGCTAACAGCAGCTCAGGTGGACAGAAGCACAATTCTGAAATACATGGGTGCACCTTTTAAATCCTTGAGATCTCTCTAGATGAACATGAATGCCAATGCCCTCTAGGCCAAACTTCAGAGATGTGTTTTTGTCTTAAGTGCTGATTCCTAATTTAATTTGTGGGGGTCCTGGCTAACACAGGTTCCGCCTGTGCTTTCTCAAATCACTCTCTCCCAGCCCCCAAACTAAGATAGGTTTGAGAGGGGAGTCATCTCCTCACCATTCTCCCAGAATCCACAATCCTTTGACAATGAGCAGGACCCACCGCTCCCCCAGCCCCTCCCCTGGGTATCAGAAGACAATGCCTATTCCACCACCTTGCTATGTTGCACCTTCTATCTCCACCTGCACTTCAAGAGCACCATAAAGGAAATTCCAATTCTATGCTTGCAGTCACCTCTAGGCTTTTTAGCTGGACTCTGACACTATTTTCAGGATCTCACCCACTGTTTTAAACAAATACATTCACAGCAGTGAACCGCTAGAATATCCCTTACAGCAGTAACATGAACTTGTCTATCACAAAGTTTAACTCTTATCTGACTACCATGGCTTAAGAAGCCAAGCTTCCTCATGAGCCCGACACTTCACATGTCTAAATTTGGCACGACCTCTTACTCCTGCCTTTGGTTTTCCCTATATAGCTGGGGAGGGGGAGTTGCCACTTGTTTTTCTTCAAATATCAAGTAATAGTTTCCAGGGAAGTGACTAATCAGCAGTAGGTGAATGTCAAATGTTTCCTGGAATTCTGCATCCATGATGACATGCTAAAATACAGATAACAGAATAAGTCATATCACAGACAAAATAATGTTAAAACCTTGAGTTTTTCTCCACTAACATACCACACAAAATTAAAGTATTTTGAAATTCCTGTGTGTAAATCTCATTTTTTGTGATTATTTTGTGTATTAAGCTAGAGCTGATCAGATGAGGCCAAGTCACTGTATCACTATAAAAAAACCAAACAAAACAAACCAAAAAAACTAACTCACCACTCTCAAACTAAGCTTTCTAGCAGTCTGGTCCCTAACTTCTGGTTCAGGGCAATTACGTCATTTGTTTGTTCATCTTCTTTTTTCTCCTTCCAGTAAAAGATTTTGGGGAAAAGAAGCATTCAACAAAGCTATCCCATAGGCATGAACATACAGGCTGTTACCAGTCACACACAAATGTATAGAGCACACAAACAATGATGCAAGTTCTTACCTGTAAAAGCAGAGTGTCCTTGAGGGACAGCTCTTCAAGTTTTAGTGCAGTCAGAATTATTTCAAGCCCTTTAATGTGATCTATTACATTGGAAGTTAATGTCTGTAGTTCAGTAACATAATCCAGAAAATGTGTAAATACAGGCGGCTATAAAAACAAATACAGATTTTAAAATTACAAACACACATTAATGCCTATTCAAATGACTATTCTATATAACAACCCACTTTGTAACATCTATCATTCCATTCCTCCCCCCAGCAACAAACTAAAATCTAATATGCCTACCCAGATAAGCACTACCAGTTGACTAGTTTCCTGCAGTACATTCAAGGCAGGAAGGTCTATGATACTCTAAACTGTTTCCTATTAAAAACGTGTCACGTGATGTCAGAAATGTGGCATGCTCACCATTTGATTTTAAATAGAAAAGGAATTAAAAATTAGTACTGAGTAATCTCTAACCCACATCAGCCTCTACAAGGCAAAGTTTATGAAAAATGGTTTATTAACATGTCATCTGTCCTGATTCTTCTTTCACTATAGACGTGCTGTTGGATTGGGGGTAGGGGGAAAAAAAGGAATATTGTCTCTACCATAGCTACACTGCTTTCTTTTTTTTTCTTCTTCTTTTTCTGCAGGTTGGATTTAAAAGGTCGGAGGACACTGTCGCAGTAACTTGATACCCACAGGGCAATGGAGATCGTCTGGAAGAAAGGTACAAGTACATTACAAGTTGCATTTACAGGCAGGCAGCTTCTAAACTTGTTTTAGAGTTTCTACTGATAAGACTCAGAGTAGTTAGAATATGCAACAAAAAAACTTTGCTTTCATGAGTGACTGAGATCAAAGAACTTTCACTGTGCTTTAGTTGTGACATTTCTACCCTAAAGTACTCCAAAACGTTTAGTTTCCATAAGAAAAAATACCTCAACAAAGAAGACTAGGTTTTCTAACAGGTTTGGATGAGTTTTCAAGGTGCCATCTCTGACTTCAATCAAATCACCTTTACATTTATTGAACAAGTCTGAAAAGAAAAAACGAAAAGCCATATTCAGGACACAGAGATCCACTTAAGTACTTGTTTTCTGTGCAGTATGTATCAGCTGTAGTGTGCAAAGCTGTCAGAGCACTGACCACTAAGCAGTTAATGATAAATTTGGCAAAAGCCTCTTGAGAAGGTCCAGCTTTGAAGCTTCCTCTGAATTGTATTTCATTACAAACACTATCTCCACACCATTTATTAGCATGCCTGACCAAGTACCAGAGAGACAACAGTTGCCAAGACTAGGCTGCAAGGCAGTGAAACAGTAGGACATAACAACATTCTGCAGCATGCAACAGCTTCACAATCAGACAAGCCAAAGGGAATCTCAGTCTTGCTCTCAAGTATCTTTCCAAGGTGTCTGCAGATGCATTAACACGCTCCCCATAACCACATAACCACAACACACTCAGCAGTGCATCCTCAGAGCACCAGGTAAGGTAAGGTAGTGACCTTAGCAACCAGGGTTTATTCTTGAGTTACCATTTACCTGTTAGTCGTTCTACTAAAGACTTGAAACTATTCCCTATCCTCTCCTGGATTTCTGATGAATCTTCTGAAAGAAAAAAAAAAAGTAGTTATAAACTACAAGTTTGTGTATTTTCTGCTTCCAGAAAACTAAGAGGCATTTAGATGTAATTTAGTGTTAGCAGTCAAAAGCAAATGCAACTGCTTGCAAAGAGAATCCGTATTACATCAACACTGTACAAAAATGAAGACTCACATAAAACATTACAGCATTGTCTCCCATGGAACTTAGTGTCATTCAAAAAATTAACGCACAAGAAACAGTTTGGGTCCACATCACCCAAAGGCCAGTAGTTTTCAAACTGAATGGAGACCCATCTGGCTCCCTCCCACCACACATCATGACAACCAGGTTAAACCCCCGCCCCTCAAGCACTTACCTAAGCCATTGGTATCTAGTTCATAAATATCACTAACAAGATAAAACAAGCTAGTCTGGCATTGACAGCTGCCATTACTGAAGAAGCCAGCCATTCGGGTAGGAGGAGGGCCAAGGACAGGATACTAGGCAAGAAGCAAAGAAAAAGATAAAGGTGTTGCAGCTTTTCCTTATCCAGAACACAGTGTCTCTGGCACATCTCTCAGTCAGATTCATACACTACAAACTCAGGGTCAGTTAAGTGCATTCTGCAGCCTGCTGGACGTTACAAGACGCATTCAGTTTCTCTGCTTGCATTCACGTTCATTTAATATTTGGGGATAGCTTTTTCCTTAATGGGTACCTGAATTTTTTGTTCTAGAAACTTCTTCCCTGAATCCACTGCCGCTTCCAGCTGCTGAAGCAGGGATCGAATTGTATCAATCTTGGACGAGACGCCGTTCTCTGCAGTCTTTTCAGAGTTCTTTGGTTGAATAGTGTGACTAAGAGTTGGGAGTCCGCTTACTAGCCTTAAAGTTAAAGACCGGATTCGCAACCACATGGTTTCTTCCTCCAGTGAGAGTTTCCTATGTTCTTCAGAAATGTCCCTAGAGAAAGGCACCAAATGTTTTCAGGCAAATGCTTCAATTTTGCAAAGTAGCAAGCTTCACTCAGGTACAAAAGCCTACCCAAAGTTATCGAATACTGTATGAAGAGGAAGGAGTGATCAGAAATTCAGAAAACTGTATTAATATGTAGAAAGGCAGCACTGCTAGAAGTGATGAATGATGCTTGTTAAGTTTGAAGTTAGCCAGCCTAGAGAACATTTAAATATGGCAGCTGCACTGAAAGGATTTTCTTTGCCATGTGTGCTGTAAGGAAAAGGCGTGACTCTACATTTAAGGATATTTCTACTCACCTGTCTTTTGGATCCCAGTTAAACAAGACTGTCAGGTCTCTGTTGTCACGCAAATCTTTCCACGGAATGTCATCCTCCTCTGGGCTCAGACTCATGGACTTTATACTTTCTTCTAAACTGGTTGATCTGTACGCAAGAATAAGCAACATTAAATCAAATATTTGATCACTGGAAATAGAAAAACACAGCTCACTAACAAACCACATTCTCCCCACTGTAAAGCTCTTCTGAAGCCAGAAATGTTACTCATACATGGTACTGACCAGGATGCTGAAGGGGAGAACAAATCAGAAGCAGAGAGAAGCAGCCCACAGATTTTTGCCAAAGACCTGGAAGTGCAACTCTCCAAGGTCTTGCTTGGCCAGTGTTCTGCCTATGCACAAATCTCCAATTTTTTCATGTGCAAAGTGCTGCACTTATCACTGCTGTACTTACATATTTGCTTCAAGTAAGAGGTCTAACAACATCCGTTCTGTGCGAACTTGTGCAAAGTGAAGGGAAGAGTTCAGTCTATTTCTAAATGCAATGAATTCTGGGATTTTCTCAAATGCACCATACTTGTAGGCTTGAATGATATATTCTGAGGTCTGGAAGAAAACACACACCGTCTCTGCATTAGTTACTTCCACAAATTTAGAAGAACCAGAGTTTAACAAGGTCATTGCCAAGAAATTGCATTTCTGGGGTTTTCATTAACCCAGAGGTACAGAATCTGGCAGATACTCAGTCCCTGGAAGAAGCTTGCAGTTTTGCTTGTCCAAGTCACCCCAGAAGTTTTGCTGCTATAATTTGAGAATGCCCAGGTCCTCCACCAGGCAGGGTGATTTAATAACCAAACCAACACTGAGAAACAGCACTTTGCTGTTGCCACTGAGACTGAAAAATACTTAGAGGGGAGAGATGATTTTAGAAGGCCTTATTTTCTCCCCTTTTTTTTTTTTTTTGAGATGCATTATTCAAATCACTAAATCATTGTTTCACTGTGAGAACTATTTTCAGGCAAAATAAATATATGTCAGATTTTCTGGAAATGACTTGGATGTGCATCACATATTACCACAACATAGATGAAAAAAAATTACTCACACATTTTTTTGTTTCTCTCTTTTATTAGATTTTTGAATACAGCATCACAAGATAGTACCGCACAGTGCATACACATTACAATACAATCTAAACATCACAGGAACTCTCAGGGTCCATGGGATAGTTTGCTTCCCCTCTGATGAAATGCAGCAATACAAGGCACGCAACTAATATTTCACATCAAGTCCAAGCAATCTCCAGAAGGAGATTTATATGACAAAGGAGCCCCAAACAAGTACTATATTTTAAGGAAAATTTCTAACTGTAGAGACAGAGTGAACTATTTATGCTCTCAGATGAGATAGATGGCTGTATTTTTTACATCAGAATTACCCCACAATTGAGAAATTCTGGCAAATCAAATATTTTCTTCTGAACAAGATCATAAAATGCACTAAAGATGAGAGGCACCAAAAAAAGGTCTCTGGTTAACTGAACTTTATATGGTGCTAACAGACTCAACCTGGCTGGAAGCTCTGAGAGACTAGAAACTAACACTCACAGATGAAAACCTTTTATTTTCCCCTCCAAAATAAGAAATGTCCTCTAGGTAGCTTTTTCTTTTGCCCTAAGAAATTTGGTTATTTGCACTGTATGAAAAAAATATGCCAAATATTCAACAACATACCCTCTGATAAACAGCCTTGCAGAGTTCATTGTCAGGCTGCGGGACTGCGCTATGGGTGCTAATTCAACTGCATCGACGTGGTTTTTAAATCCCCATAGGACACGTTGGTGTTCTGTTTGCCTGCAGTATCTGGAGAAATTAAAGACGGACGGACACAAGAAAATTAGAGAGATTACTTGTGATTCTGCATATTTAAAGGAGGACTATCTTGAGAAGGATACAGTTGCTCTTTTAGTTTTGGCCAAATATAGCAATACTGCCTTCCCTCTCCTCCCTGTCCTTGGCATCCTCTCCCAGAGCAGAAATATTATATCAGGACTGCACAGCATCCTAGATGGCTCTTACTCATGGGACCCACTCTTAAACAGGATTCACTTCAGGCTGTTACGTTCAGCAAGTCAAAAGGAAAACATTTGTCTAAAGCAATCAGTCTGAATCAGTAGCGATATTTTTATGCCAGACCACTTCGTTTATATCCCATGCTTCCTGTTCTAGGCAGAGTCCCACACAGCGCACCATAGGCCACGTTCTCTATGCTGCGGCAGACATTCCAGCTATCTTAAACACCAACCTGGAGAGGAGCAGGCAGTATCTGAAATAATGTAAAAAGGTAACTTTTAAAGACAGTCCTCCTTTAACATTGCAGTCAGATGCTGTTACGGGACTCGAATGGGAAGCTGGTATCAGGACCCTGAGTGTCAAGGGCAACCCCAGCAGAACCACAGCAGCACAGAAACTGGTAGCAGACTCTGACCTTATGATACTTGGGACCTGTCTTATGGTAAGGACTCCCTTTTCTCATCTCCACTCTTGTCATGCCCTCATCCTAGGCGACCAGTACCCTGAGTCTGCACCTTACAGTGGGTTTAAAGGACACTTAAATTAGTTCAGCTTTTGATGCGTTTCACAACTAAAAGGATCTTAAGGTGATAACCACTGGAAGTGTCCAGAACACACAAGAGATTTGGCTAGCCAAGATCACAAATGGCTCATTGTCCTTTGGTTGCAATACTCTGTCTCCAAGACGAGATATGATCCAAGTGGGTTCCAGGGTCACATCCTTATCTTGTAGCATGAAGAATTACATAATGCAGACTGTATTGCTTTCGACCCTCTTGCAATTTCACCTTTTAAGGTGTGGTAGTGAGGCAGGTTGAACCATTCAGGCACTGTCTTTTCAGGATTTCTGGAACACGAGTTGAGTAGCATTTTCCTGGAAACAGTGCTTGGAACACGGCTGTCTTCGTCTGCATATGGATGTTGAGCTACTGGAGACAATCAGCTCTTCTCTGCTGCAAGCACCTTCATCATTCATGGCAAAGAAAATAACCTTCTTCCAAGGTAACCACACTTGAAGTTACTTCAGACTGTTTTCCAGGGAAAGATGATTTCTTGATGCTTTACAATGCAGTGTTCCCAAGCACACTAATGACATCCCATAGTTTTTTCAGTTCACTACTTTCACTTCTCACCCAGCAGTCATGCTTTTCATTAACATCAACAAATGACTTTTAAACATGACTGAATAGGTTACTGCTCATGAAAAAAAAAAAAAAAGCCAAAAAAAAAGCCACCACTACCAAAACCAGGTATGTAGGAGAAAGCTGTCTGGATCTGGGGCTTCACTCCAGCACAAACCATTGCATTCCCCACCATCCCTGTGTGCCCAGGACAGCAGGACCATTTGGAATGTCTGTTTTAACTAGCGCTCCCAGGCTTTGCTGAGCAATGACACAAACCAGGACATCTTGACCCACCATCCCTGACTGCTGTACGATTTTCCAAAATGCTACAAGTTATATGACACCAGGACTTACTTGCAACATAACATTTCACTTAAATTCTTGCATAATTCATTTAAAAGTAATCATATCTGTTTCTGATGAGTATTAAAACTGGTTTTTACAGGTAGAAAGCTAAAGCAAGAGCCCATGTAACAGTAAGTTACAAATTCTTGTAATGAGAAACACATGTTGAGGCAACCTTTACTCTGAACGCAAAGTAGCAAGTATTATTCCTGTTTGTTATCAACCACTACATTTCTGTAAGCCCTTACATAGGACACAGACTTCTGTAAGGCACCTTAACATAACTACCATGTTACATGACACAGGTTTCTTTCAACTTACATCTTTCTGGTTGGAGTGGAAAAACCTGAGTGCAAAATTGCAGGATTGGGATGCAGCAGCATAGTGGCCCAGGGAGCCCGCATAGCGCGTCAGAAGATAGCTGCAAGACAACACAGCACGAGTCAAATATCAGCACACAACCCCAGGGAAACCTGGATTTCAAACACAGCTCTGAACAGCCAACCGCAGCACAGTCCAGCTTTAACGAAAGGTCTGGAGATTCAACAGATGGCAATCACAACATTCATATTAACACTTAAGCTTTTAACAGGAATGGAAGGAATTATTAATTTTTTAAAAAACAGTATATGGGGGCTTGAGTACCTCCATCCACCTTGCAAAGTGTGCAAGAGCTTTACTTAATTAGATACCCCCAAACACACTAACCAAAGCATGACCATTTGGCATCTCTTAACTAGTGCTCCCAGGCTTTCCTGAGGAAGGACACAAGCCAGAACACCACACTATGACTGATATATTTCACAATTTTATTTCAGATTCCCTTTAGTTAATACTCCAAAAATCCAAAACTGATCAAAATCACACAGGAACGATACTCCATGAGAAGAGGAGTATACTTCAGTAGATGTGTCTCGTGTAATTCCAAAACACTTTTACACAACACTGTATGAAAATCTGATAATCTGCTAATTTTCATCAGCAAAGGAAACTGAAGATCTCAGGACTGGTTACTGGAGGGTCACCATCACCAATTATTCTCAGTATATACTACCCACCCGATGGTGTCATGCTGTATGTGTTTTGCATCAAGGCTGGAATAGAGCTCTGCGACAGGTTCAAATGCACCAAGCCTGCAGTAGATTCGAATGAGCAGCAATTTAAACTGAGCATTAGAAGGACTATGAGATAACCCTTCTTCTAGGAGAGTTAGGCACTGCCACACAGCTGTCTCTTCACCTGGTGACAAAGACAAAACACAGACAGGCGTGATGAGAGGCACAGAATGCTGACAGCACAGTTCACTTGAGCACTGAAGCTCCCTTCCTCAAGCTACACACCTCTCAAAACGGTCCCGTGCATTTAAACACCCAGATGGCATTCATTAGCCACGCTGCTGCCCTTAAAACGTAACACCCATCCCAGCATTATAGCTGCTCTCTGACGGAAAGGTGGAGGAATAATTCCTCACAGGGAATATCCAGCTCACATTTGTACAGAGTAAAGCACTCCACATGGGCATGCTGTAGAAGCAGTGACCTTCCCTGATGAGTCCTGGACTGTTCAGGATTTTCTAAGTATGTCAGGGAGAGAGAGAAATACTCTCAAAACACCTCTGATATCAGAAGGGAATTGTCAGCAGGACTCATGCAAAGGGACAGAAAACATTACCTACATGGGAAACTTGTAATAAGCTTCTGAAGACAGCCAGCACTGAGCTGCAAGAGTCATCAGCAAGGCTCTGCCAAGACTTACAGAATTAATCAGAAAAACTAAATCCCTTTAGGGGTCAGTGAGGTTCCTATCAAACACCACCTGAACAGAGGGACTCCCGAAATGCCTCATATTGCGAAAAAACCCAGAAAGCTACTAGCCCAACAAAATCCATGCCAGGAACACACTGGCCACAGGGACACTGTCTCTCTACCACAACCATCCAGGGTGCTATTAAGCAAGACATGATCTTAGGAACATACCTTCTAGCCACAGATCGAGCAGCAGGTGAACTGCAAGCAAGCAGTAATAATCTGAAAACTGCAATTCAGTTTTCAAACAAGATTTCCCTGCAATGAAAAAGAAAGTTACTCTTGAATTACTGCAGCACTGTCAGCCGCTTCTCACACTGTCAGCACTATCAAATGACACGGCTATCCGGCAGAGGATAACCACAGCTTAACTTATAAAACCCAGAGCTGTCTTAAAAAGTGGAACAACTGTATACATGCTGCATTTGTTCATCACACAAGTGGGACTTTGGGTCACTTCATATGTAGACCTCTGCTGGAAGAAGAAAATACTGTTCTACCACTGCAAGACCTACAAATTAATATTACTGCCCAGGTATTTGCCCTACGTACACCAGTGATAAAGCCTGGCTTTGCTTAAAGGCACAGGCAATTTTGCAAAGACACAAATGTACCATCTAAACTACCCAGGAACGCCTCATTTATCTTTAAGATATACAATTGAAAAGAAACAAAAAATAAGATGTCAAGATTTTTCTCACCAAACTCCAATCCATGGCGGTATCTTAACATCAACTCCCGGACCACAGTCAGCTTCTGCTTCTTATCCATGGCGTGATAGATACCAAGCAATCTAGAGAGCTGCACCACACACAAGTGTTGTTGGAGGGCTTTGATATCGGCTGGCAGTGCGATTTCACTCCCTGCTGTTTCCGACAGAGGGATTACTTCCAGCAATTGACTGATGAACTGAAAGAGAAACACTGCTGTTAACTTCTGCAGGGCATCTGGGATTGCACCAACAGGAAGCATCCATTCCTCCCTCAAATCAAGCAAAGAAAGCAAGGTGGAAATGTCAGTGTCACCCCTGATGTCACACTGAAATCAGTGGTTAAAGAGCTGTTTTCTTTTTTTTTTTTTTTTTTTTTGGAAAGGTGATGAGCACACAGCTTGGGTTGCACTCAACAGCTTTTACCAAGTTTCATCAAACAGATGGAGGAAAAAAACAAATCACAGGCAGCTTTCCAATCCATTGACACACAAGGGAGTTCAAGCACCTGCTAACATTCACAGTAATAACATACGTAATTAAAATAATTAGTTACTGAAAGGCTTCACAGCACACTTCCAAGAAACAGCGGTTTTGTACTAGCTACTACATTCTCTCTCAACTCTGAAGTAATGCACTGTACTCTGTGAAGTCATAATCTTTGATTAATGACTTCTTTTTTTGAGCTAAGTTGTAAGAAAAGCAGCCTCTCATTGTTTACAACTTTAATAGGAGACAGACTTCTCACAACACCCAGTCAGGGCTGGACAGTGGTTTGTTGTTGCCCTAAAATCCAACAGTGTTTACAAACTTAAAACTGAATTAGAGCCAATTAATTCAGCTTTACTACATTTGCTCTTGAAACACAAGAACTGCATCAATGCATGCCTGGGGAAAAAAGCAAGACAGCTAGACAGGAGGAACACATAGCACCATGCACACAAATCCCAGTTTCCCCACAGACTTTGACGAAGACTGTGTTGACAGATCTTTTCAGTTTGAGATTTTGCCAAACTGGTCAAGGTCAACAAAATCACTAGGCTTTATACTCCAATTAATGCCTCTAGGAAGTCATAACTGATGCTACAAGGATTATTTCTGGAATATCCCATGTGTCTGGTGGCCCAGCAAGATCGCCACATTCTCAGCTACTGAACTTTAACATTTTTCATAACTCTTTTATAAAATGAAAAGGAAAAGAAAAGACCCCCCCCAACTGTGTATAGCCTCAGTGTCACCCTGCTACTGTACCTAGGATACAACAACCTCCAGCATCCTCTGCTGTGAAACAAGAACAAACCTAAGAATCTATAAATATTGTAAGTAACTTAAACTTTCACATTTCAAAACCACATCAGCACTTCAGCAGTACTAACCCTGCTCAGCCACACATCCCCTAGACCGAGTTAAACTGCTGCAGATGTGTGCTTCAGAGACAGCCATTCACTTGGGAAGACCTTCTAACCCATCAGTACAACACAACAATCTATGCACTAAATCAGCAGCAATTTTAAGGCCAATCAAAAAATTCTATAGAATTTATTCAAAGTCATGGTTTACTGCGACAAAACCAAAGCCTAAACCATTATTTTTAAATAACATTCCCTGCCACTCCAGGTGTAGAACTTGTTTCCTGGAAAGTCAGGATTTAACCTGTTCAGTGCTTCAGGACTTCAAGGTTACCCTGCAATGGTATCACCACTTCCAGAACTATGACAAATATCCTTCTGATCACATCTCTGGGAACACACCTTTTAATATAAAACATCATCAGCAACCCATACATGTCAGGGCCACTGCTCTCCTTATTAATGAGGCTGTGGGAAGAGCTTGTATTAGAAGTAAAAAGAAATATTTTCATAAACTAAGAAAACACCAACATTATCTACACTTTGTTTACAAACATTTTACCAGCAGCCTTTGGCTGACCCAGGATCCCCTATCTAGCCCTCCCCAGCTCTGATAATTTTACACAATGGCTTAGAAAAACAATGGGGTGTGAGTGACAGAATTCCCAGCTGCTGAAGTCATTCAACAAGCTGCTCATGACTGCACAAATAGTGTTTTCAGTTAAAGAGAACTTGTTTCAGAAAGAGATTCTGGAAAAATTGCCACAGGTCCCTTGGTCACCCCTTGATCGGTATCAGTGTGTCCACTCTCTAGTACCGCAGCAGAGCCAAGTGAAACATCTCCGTGACACCCTGCCTGCGTCAGACGAGGGAGAAGATTTTTCCCATAAAACATACAACTTTAATGGGAAAAATAAGCGATGAGTAGGAAGGGAAAGAAGAGGATCTCTTTGTAAAGCAGAAGTTACAGTACCCAGCAATGAGAACTTTATTGTTTTCACATTACTCCATTTTGTAAGCTGTGATCTATAAACAAAAGTGATGAGATTACTCATTTTCAAAAGAGCTAATTGGGTAGCTTATCTACTGAACTACAATTCCTAGGGAGCTCTTCATTTCAAGATACAAGCTCATCTCTTGTAATTTTCATCAGCATTACAAGCTGTTCATTTTCAATATGAGAATTCAACCAAGACCATCTCAAAGCACCCTGACACCTTCGAATGGTAACGAAAAAGCCAAATGACTATTCCACCTGTGTCTGAGACTCTGCAGGATCACACTTAGTTTTTAGTGTCCAGTAAAAATCCTCTGAATGAAACTGCTCAGCGTATTCAGATGTCCGTTGTACTTTCTGCAGCTCAAAGAGTTTTCTGAATTTGAAACAGAAGGTAAAAACTTGATGTTTCCAGTCTTTTAATATGACCCACAGGCCTTTAAAGATAAAGGAACCCGAGTGCAAACAAGCACTGCAGTTCCTGCCTCCACTTCTTTATCCTTCCTTACCTTTGTGTATTGGCTGGACGGGAGGAGATCCACAAATACCTTGAGATCAGTAAAACAGCAGGGTTTGTCCCCAAATTTTTTGAAGTACTGGAACATTAATTCTTCTGGATCACCTAAGAGAAAGGCCAGTTCATCTTTTCAATATTCTCCATCAAAAGTTGAATCTGTAAAATCACTATGAGAAGCCTTTGGTAATATTTTTTTCCCCCCCTTCGAGATTACATAGTGATTTAGAAAACGAATAGCTGCACTGCTGCAGATTTTAACAGAGGCTCAATGTCTTTGGTAACCAAGGACACACACAAAAAAACCCCAAGAGCTTCATTCAAGCTACTTTGGCAGATAAGAGCTCAGCATAACAGGCACGCATACACAGCCTCCGCTTATCTACCAGTAACTTATTTTCGGATGGAAATACAAAAGGAACTAGTAGGTAGCACAGATGTTGTTCTAATCACATTCTCTCCTTCACTGATTCCCTAAATGCAATCTTTAAATCCGAGTTTTTAAAAAGAAAAACCTGGTACTGCTGCCAAAAAATTTAAAGGAAAAACCACCCAGAGATTACAGCGAAACAGCACAGCTTTCGACAAAAGCAATGCCTCAGGAATGCACTGTTCATCATGGTGTCAGTGACCATATGCTCCTAGATCCCACAGGTCCTTTTGAAAGTTTCCACATTTGCTTTTACAGGCCTCGGGGTAGTCTGGAAATATCTGGTTTTCTTCAAGGCTCATCTTCTAATGCTTTCAAAATTCTTTACATTCAAAAGCATGCACATTTTCCCAACAGATATCCTATTGAACTCAGTGATTTAGCAAAGAGCTTTTTCCAAGTTTGTGTTCTCTCTCTAAAGATTAACTCATCATCCAGTTAGTGGCTCTTACCTAGTTTATATTCATCATTACAACCTCTGTATCGCAAACGTCTAATCAGCTCCAGTTTAGCTAAATATGGTCCGCGAAGTGGCCGAGAGCTCTTAGATTCTTCTGTTATCCTCTCTTCTATAAATTTCACAGCTTGCTCTATAGAATAGTGTACCTCTCCTTCCAAAGAGCTGTGCAATTAAAGAGACAAAAGGGTTTTTTGATTTTTCCCATAGCTAAGGCATTGATAACACATGCTCAGCATACTCCCAGGATATTCTTCAGGAAATCTGGCATGATAGATTCTCTAACTCAAACACCATGAAAAATAGGAACTGGAAGAGTTCTATAGCGTACAAACCAGCATTTAATCATCTGTTTCCAACAAACTATTGCCAGCCCCCAAAACAAAGTAGGGAAAACACATAATTTGGGGTCTGATGTCCAGAAGTCACCCAAAGATGCAGACGGTGCTCTACTAAATATATGAATGCAAACAATTTGCTGTAGTGCAAAGGAAACACATCCACAGCAAAACTGTTAACTTACTGCTCTTCTTCTGGTGGAGGTGTCCAGGATTCATCAATGAGCTGAAACACTGAATCGAAGTACGTTATATAAAACTGCCAATCATCTGAGCTGAAACAAAAACCAGGCACAGAACAAAGTTTAGGGAATTGCTAAAACAGTTACTCACTTCTAAAACTGCACTCCCTGCAAAATCTGAATTTAAGGAATAGCACATATTACAAAAAAAACCTGTAATATGAATAATTTCTCCTTGAAAAGGTCTCACATCTTAAGAATGACATCATCCTGAATCTCTTGAAATGTATTAAAGGAAACAATTTCAATAAAGAATTGAGGCAAGCTGCAAACTCTCCTCTTAACATTTACATTTCACTCAGAGCTCATTAATGTCTCCACAAAATGCTAAGGCAGAAGGTTCTCCTCTGTATTGAACCTATACTTAAGATTAGAGCACAGCTAAATTCAAAAGCAAACAACAAATCTCTCTTGACAGTTCCAAAGACAGATTTGATCATACTAGCAGGTCCTCTCTCTGCATCTGTTCAAAGCATTACATGCACTTCCCAGTATGAAGTCTGGACAAGTGACAGAAATGAAGTTCCAGAAAATTAAATGTAAATGCCGTTCCCCTTCCCCTCTCTCCATGAAAGGTAGAGCTGGACAAAGAGCACAGCCTTTAGAAGTAAGGAGGTACACAAAATGTTATCGCGTTAATGTGTTGCTAAAGTCAGTCTTCAAAAGGAAGCAACTACAGTCCTGACACTGACTGTCCCTGTGACCTTCACCATGTCCCTTTAACAATCCATCCTGCTGCCCTTCTCCTTCAGGCTTTAGAGGGCAAACATTTGGAAATGCTTTGAGATGCTCTGATGTTAACCACCATTTACAAAAGCCACTGAACAAAGCAATTCACAACTAGACGGGAATTTTTCTTCAGATTTTTAGTAGGACTGCAGAAATATAATCTCACTTTTTCAGCAGCAGCCTTCTCGACAGCGCATTGCACTCTGGCCACCTACGCAGCTTCTTGTACATTGCCATACACTTGTTCTCGCGGCTTTGGAGCTCACTTGTCAGCTTCTCTAAATGAAAAACAGAAGGGCAAATTTATTTAATCAATGCATTTCCTTCTCTACCTACTTTCTGCACCAAGCTGCTTATTATAGCCAAGGATGCAAACCAGTAAGTGTAAGAGAACAGAAGAGAGGCCCTCAAATGATAGAAAGGACAGATTTGCTATGGAAACCTTCATATCCCAGCTCCTTAAAACTGCAACTGCATCTTAATCACTAGGAATAGTCCACAAAAATGTAGGATATTAGGAACTTTATTTTTTTAGGATGGCAGCTACAAACTAACACACCACCAATTTACTACTGCTAAGCATACTGCTGCAAAGTTCATCACTGAATAATGCTTAAATACCATAAAGAGATGTGTAAAACCAGCTTGCACAAGAGCACCTCCAGAGTTTGCATCAATATTTGAAACTGGTCTTAAGAGTCAGGCTTCTTTTTTTTTGAATCAGTGAACAAGTCTGAAGCAAAGGTGTGTCCCCCACACAACTGTGATCATTAATTGACAGAATAAGTTACCTCCTAGTTTTCCTCTCACAACATCTAAGGCTTCCTTATACTTCTCCAAACGTTCCAGAATCATGTAGTACAGTTCGACCTTAAAAGAAAAATTAGACTGCAATGAAATCTGCTAGTAAAACAATATACAGGTGTGCCAAGAAATAAGTGGCTTGCGTTACTGTCATTAGAAACAGGAGATAGCCAGGACTGAAAGCTATCTTTAGCATCTCAGAGGGTGGAGCATTCAGGAATTTAGGTCTTTTTTCCATTATCAGTCCTGAAGATTCTCTTGGGGCCTCCCAGGGAGCACAACCAAGTACTTCATCAGTCAAATCAAATGCCAAGAAAGTTCCTTGGCCACACTCTTCCAAATCCCTCTCAACCCTCTGCTCTTGGTTTTCCTTCTGTCCTGCCACATTCACATTTACTTCCAGAACATTACCAACTATTATATTGGAAAACTGTTAAAATAATCAACTTCCTTTAACAGTGCATTCCTTGCCTCAATAATGTTCAAGCTGCAAGTATACACAAGCCTTACTTCAGCCTCAGCTTCAATCTTATCTTCTTTCACCATTTTTTCCACCATTCTCTCAGCTAGTGGCAAAAACATTGTTTTTGAGAGGTTTTCATCCTGTGCTGAAATAGACTAAGGAAGAGAAGAATTACTGTAACACCTCATCTGCTTGTGTTGTCCCACCCACTGCTTTTTTCCAATTAGAAAAGGAAACAAAAAAACCCCAGGTGCTTCAATCCCCCCAAAACCACACATTCATAGCAGCCATCTGTCACGTGCAGAGAGCAACTGCTCTGTTAAAGGCAGTAAAAAAAAACTAGGGATCCATGGAAAAAGCTCACTCTTGATTACACTGTCCAGAGACTCACACACCTAGGCATGTAAGATCCATGGCAAATAACACGCAGCAAGAACATGTTTTTGTTTTCCACAGCCCAGTATTTTAGAGAATGTGATTAATGCCTCCATGCTTATTTTCTGCTTGGTCAACACTCTGTCAGGTTGTTTGGTAAGTGCCTGAATCCGCTATCTCAACTAACAGCAGCAAAGCTGATCTGCAGTCTTTCTGCAGTCTCAAAGACATGCTAAGTCCAGAGCTCTCATTTATTTTCTCTGAGAGCCTTTATAACCTAGTTACAGAGAGAACAGTTCTGCCTAAGGAGCTGCAGATGTTTGAGGATTTATTCATTAGCTCTTTAACGACAAAGACAGTAGGGTACTAGTCCAGATAAGAGAGTAATCCAAGGGTATAAACATGGTAAGGCAGACCAGCTAAGCTGCATTATAAAAACACCACAGTATTCATTTTGAACCACATCAACAAAGCTGCTTAAGAAGGGCTCAGTCTTTCTTCCACTATCATAAAGAAATGGTTCAAACACACATTTTACTTAAAATAATCTCCAATATTTTCACTCAGACCATTTCTATATTTGCACTATACCTGCGGCAAAAGTCAAACTGATTTGCGACACTGTACACACCTGCATAATCAGGCTCATCACAGACCAAAAATAGTAAGGATTTTTGGGTACAATCTTATAAAGTGCCATTCCAGCCTGAAAAATAAGACAAAGTTTCATCATTCCTGAAACATATCTGTTAGCACAAGCTAAGCAGCAACAATGGCAGCAGACAACACAGAATTAGCAACTAGATGGGAGGACTTTTATCAGCCCGTGAGCCCTTCCATCCTAACACACATTGCTAAAGAAGAAGAAGAAGAAAACAGAGGGTGAAAATGTTTCAAAGATCAAGTACTTTGAGTAGGTGCACATATGATCACTTAAACAGATGACAGCTTTAGTTAGAAGTGGTAACTACATGAGGAAGCATAAGATTTATTCTTTAGGAGTGAGCAAGATATTTCCAGTTCTGATTTTCACTGGTATGCTCAAGCTCACCAAAGCACACCTTCTTCATGTAAGCAACTGCCCTCCAACACTCATTTCATACGTACACATACTCAGATAAAAAACCTACACGTGATTAAGTAGTTAAGCAAAGGTTGAGCTGAAAGCTTGCCTGTATCAAAGCAAAGCCAAAGTGTTCAAGATTCTCCAGCCTAACACAGAAACAGATATTCACACATTCCTCTCTCAGATTTCCAGTGTCTGTATATGATGAGACAACACTTTTATCCATATAAAGTCTGTAATTAATTTTAAGAAACCACCTATAATACAGTCTAGTGCTACAGATGGGCTTTTGTGACAATTTCCTGGTTGCTGTCTCAGTTTGCATTTTCCAGCGCTTTCAACTGAAATATTGCAGAACACAGGACGCTGGGGTTTATTTTCACTCTCCCATCAGTCAGCATCCACGCACTCTTTGCATCTCTAATGCCTTAGGTCAAACGCACAGCTCAATCTGGAACATCCCTCTCTGACAATGTCTGGATAACTTAACTAGGTACATCTTTGTATGACATTTTAACCATACAAAAGGTCAGAAAAATATTGTTATCTGTGCAAAACTGGCATTTTTTCCACTCGTGGTCATAGCCAGGAGTACAATTAACATACAGTCACGTCTCTGAGGTTTAGATTGTCATACGAGGCTTGTAATTACATGTACATTAATAACTTAGCCCCTACCTACAGCTTGAACTCAAACAGCATACAAGCTGAGCTACAATGGAGAATAACACTCTGCTCAATATATTCTTTTAGTGACTTAAACCAACCTTGCACAAAAATTCAAGTCACCTTAACACAGCGCGAACAAGAGGGAGTTTAGGACTCATGCACTCGGCTCTCTCTGCTGTTCTATATAGAAGAGTGAGCGCGCATGCTTTGAAAAGAATCTTCCATTTATAGGCATTCTCCAGGCACCTAATTTGGAAGGGGTGAAAACAAAACTAACCAGCGTGAGACACTGTTCTGCCAGCTGGGATGATGTACTTAAAGGAAGTGCTTTTTAGCTTTCCTTCACTGAATTACAACCAATACGAGCGTAGTTATATGTTAGATTCCAAAGGCAAAAGCAAGGGCAGAATTACTCTTTTCTTCCGAAAGATAACAGCAAACTAAGGAGTAAATCAAGTCTGAAAACAGAGATCAGAAGATCTTACTACATCTTCTTGTATCTATTCCCGAATTTTGTTACAATACACTGCCTCATACATAACCACCGTAGTGCTCAAGACAGATCGATAAAAACCTCCCAAAATCACCAACATAATCTATCAGATCAGATATACACACAAAAGGCACAGTCATCCTGTCCCACGTAAGGAAAAGAAAGCATCTGCCTTCAGATAACCCACTCCCGAAATAAAGGTCTTCTGTGAAGACTAACAGAGTACAACTTCTGCATTAACCCAGCCTAGCTTCCTGGAAGATTACTTTACAATATGAAAAGGCATTAACAGTAAGAAACACAGAAAAAGACACCTTAAAATGACCAGAACACAAATTGTTGATTGTACCTGTTGCATCTTCTTGTATTCTCCAACCCTGGCATAGGCCATGAAGAGATGAGAGTGATACTCTTCACTGTTGGGGACCTTCTTTACAGCTGCCTCATAAAGTTTAGTTACCAGTTCCGCTAAACCAAAACCAGATGCTTGAGTTACGATAAATTTGGGAATCATTTTAAAGCACAGCTACCTAAAGATTGCATCAGTGACACTCTGAACAGTAATCTAATTACACTCGACCACAGAAATGGCACTCTCCCCCCCAAGACCCCAAACATTAGCCAAAGGAGGAAAGTGCCGAAAACAAACCAACCAAACCAACCTCAAAATAAGAGTTAACAACAACAACTGAACTGCTCAGAAGCACTCAAGTCTTTTTCTTAAGAATGTTTATTTTGGAGCATTAAACCGAATGAAGATTTCTACTCCTGGCAGAATGACTGTTCCAAGTCAATTATGTATCAAAACACAGAACACTTTCAGAGCCAGTATCAAACTGGTTGCTCTTATCACAGGTTTACCTAGGTTAGTCATATCCTGTTATTTCCCAATTGCCTATTTTAGTACTCTTAACAAGTAAAAAACTTCACACTACTTTTTAATAATAGCTCCATCATGACTGAATACTTACAATATTACAATCTGAAAAACTTTCTTACATTTTCACCCTTCCAGATTTTTTTCCTTACACATACAATCATGTCTCAGAATAGCATTAGAAAACTAAAAGTAATTTGTCTTTCACATAGTTTACATATCCTTGACATGCATACATAAAACATCGAATTACATTTTTCTTGCAGGACCAGAAGTGGAAGTACCTAACACCTACTATTTCCTTTCTGAGGTATAAACCTAAAAGTTAGAAACCTGAGCTTAACGCTTATGCAAATTGTTTAGAATCACAGAAAGGCTTCTGATATTTTCAGGGGTTTGTTTACGTTGAAGTCATACATCCACACAATACTTTTTTATTATTCAAGAAAGAATGCTTTAACTCCACACATACATACACACACATATAGAAAGAAATAACCTAGGAGAGCATAAGCAACTGCTGTATTGCAGACTGATACCAAATATCCGTTTCTACAAAAGTTGTTTCACCCCATTGTCATTGCTCCAGCAATTCAACAATAAATGTTGCTACCTCCACCAAGAACCACAAGAAGCTGCCAGAAACAACAACTGTTTAGAGCTGTAGATAAGCAGTATAGAAGGTCTGGCTTCTTTCAGCAAAGCACATGCAGTTTCACTCTGTCACTCAAATATTAATGATTTAGTGTTTTTAAAATACCGTATCACCACAAGGAACTGCACTGAAAAAGCTAATGCGGTCAAATTGAGAGGCCAGGATCTCCTTTCTCTTTGTCACACAGCTTCTTGAGGCCTGAACCCCTTGACTATGGTCTCACAGCATTAAGCACACTGCAAACTACAGACGTGATATGTCACCCCTACCACATATACTGACAACAAATTCCAGTAGCTTTCATTAAAAAGTGAACTCATAGGCCGACTGGGATGGATTATTATTAGCAATTTACATTCTCAGAGTCTCTTAATAACCCAAACCCTAGACTTCGCACATTTCCCATGAAACTATGGCTCACATATACCTCTGGGAAGTACATAAATAATTTTGATTTTCAGGAGAGGTAAAGGAAAAAGCTTACGTCTATGCATTTCCCGGTAAAGAATAGTTAGTGCTTGCAAGGAATTATCATCTGTGGGTTCAAGTGCTGCTACTTCTTGTGCCAGAGCATACGCTTCATCTTGCTTGCCAGTTCTCTGCAAGCCAATTGCCTTCAGAACCTATTGACACAACAGAGGCAGCTGTTAGAAACACAGTTGGCAGTTACCAGGGAAAAGCCTCTCATTCCCTGTGAGGAGAGGCTTTGCCCAACCACCTCATTACTCCTACAGAACCTCAGGTTTTATTAAGCTTCTAATCCATATGGCTGTGGAGGAAAACTTCCAAACGCAAGCTGCATCAAAGAGTGTGGCTTTGCATTTTTTAACAAACACACAGGCTGCTCCAAGACATCAGCTGCCACTCAGTTTTCCCTACCTGCAGACTGAAAATGGACCAGTCCTGCCTATTTTAATTTTTTTTTCTTTCAGTAACTGGCCAGAGAGAAGTGACATAAATGAGATTCAGGTCAACGACACTCATCTCAGCTTGGGAAGCTTTAAAAATGCAGAAGTGGGATGAACTACAGAGGAAAAACCACAGGGAAAAAAGTAGAAAGATAGTAATATGTTCAGAAAACTGAGGAAAACAACTCCTTTCCCTTCAGGAGGGGCACAGCAAGGAAGACAGTGAACAAGAGGCAGAAGAGCAAACACCTCCAAAATCACCTTGTTATGTTCTAGTAAGGACTACACCTCCCAAGCAAATGTTTTGGTCCAAACTACTACAGACTGATCCCAACCTAGGGTCTAGAAGAGGCATCTTTAAGGCACAGCCCAGGTGCCGAGGTTGCCTGCAGTGGCTCTGAGAGGCAGCTGGACAATTAGCTCAGGTGTAACCAATTACACTCCAGTCATTAGAAGCAGCACACCAAGAGCATCTGTGAGTTTCCAGACACACAACATTGTGTGAATCAGAACAGCCCAAGAGATTCCAGAGGGCTCAGAAAACACCGTAGGCTCTGGAAGACCATGGACACAGCCCAAGAGGTCCAGCGAAACACTCCAATCTCAGTGCTCCTCTTGCCAAACGAGGTCAGTGCACTGCAGTCACACCTACCTTTGCACAGTGAAGATCCTTGTGTTTTTTGAGCAGTTTATCCGCTTGCTGGATTGCCATTTTATTATTGCCATTATCGAGATAATCTGCATAAGAACAACATATATAGAATTATACCAGAACACAAGACTGTGGAAAGCTCTCTCTAATTTTACTGTGGAGGATGTGCTGTTAGGCCAGCAGTGCAAACCACATTTTCCTTGTACAATTACTACTAAGCCAAACATTTAGGAAACATGTCATTTTGTAGATGAACTATTCATCTCCCTGTACTAGTTTTAGTCATTCGAACAAACAAGCTTTTGTAATTACTCCACATAGATCATTACAGCAACAAAAGAGACACATAATAGAGCAGGCGCTGCAGCAACAGCTCTTTGCTAGCAATGAAGCTTGGGCTCTTTGGTTCAGTAAAAGTAGAAATTAATTTGGTGTGCCTTTGGGAGACTTTCAATGACTTTTAACAGGCAGTAGGTTAGAAACTAAGCACTCACAATCTGTCAAAGCATGACGTGAGAAGACTTACTTGTCCACACAATCCATGCTGGAGGCAGAGCAAACCTTTCCCCTACCAGAGCATCGCTATGCTTTCACCAGACTGGTTTTAAAAACAAAAGAGTATTTCCTAGGGAGGTATCCCACTATCTAGTATAACTTCAGCTGTACAACACCAGCCTTAAGAGCATTTTCTCCTTTTTTCAGCTTGGTATTATAATTTTCAGCTTCACCTCCAGTGCATCATCACATTATTAGACAATCACAAACAAGCAATTTTAGATTAGAACCTGTCCCCTATATGCTTCCCCTCCCTCAAAAATTAATCCCTGCTAACCAAAGCCGAACAGCCCAGCTGCACCTGACACGCCAACAGGGAAGGAGCCTCTGCTCACACTGTTCCAGCCTCTCCCCCACCCAACTGAACAGAGCTAATGCCAGATAATTGAAACTACATTTCACATCTTTTTCTCATCAAGACTCTAGTTCTCATTATGAGAGAGAACTATTTTACCAAGCAGAAAGGTGACCTTCAGTAATTCCTTCGTATATAGTACAAAGTGTGCATCTATACTAATGAGATTTATATTCGGCAGCTCTAACATTTGCTTCCACAGCCAAGTGCTGCAGATTTAAAGTAGAGCTAATTGGGCTCCTGAGACCATACGGACAAAACCCCAGATGAGGCAGCCTGCCCACATCAACCAAAATGTCACTACATAAAATACAGCTTGAAACTGCAATACGTTGTCTTTACATGGGTTAGATAGATGGCTATCTTAGCTTACAAAAACCTGCACATCACCTTTAACCTTAAAACTTAAGCAGGGATTTCTCAGTGAAGAGGTTTCAAAACTGTGGAACAGAACATCCTGGTGATCTCTTCATACACCAGCAGAGACTTCTTGATTTAAGGCTCTGTGTTGTGCATTCACTTACACACAAATTATCTGCCATGCTGCACTGCCTGTCTTGGATTTTCTAACAACTGTGCCGATAAGATCTCCTAAAGTAAATCAAATAAACCACAAACCTCTCTAAACTGCAGCAGAATAAAAAGATTGTATTTTGCTAACAACAATTAAGTTTGTTGGAAGACAAAGTAGCTGGCAACTTCCAAAAGAATTCAAGCTACAGGAAAATAAACTTAAGGCTCGACTAGTTGCAAGTCTGTAGGTGGAGATGTTCAGTGGCTGGAAATGCAACACGGGAACCTTCAGGTGAGCGGAGAACAAATCAAGATGAAAGATAAACAGAGCTGTCAAGGAACCCTGAGTAACCAAGGCGCACGGTGCAAACTGAACAGAACTGTTTTAAGTCAAGAACCGGACCTTTGACCTCCTACTACATGTCTCCAGTTTATGACTTTAAGGACACACATTTTATTTTGGGTTCTGCAGCACCAAAGCCTGAATTCAGGTCTTGCACTGCAGATAATCCTTTTTAGAACTAGCAGAAGATTTTCCCTAACAACTATACTCTCTGATATGTATACAGTGAAAAACATTTCAGTGTCATCTGCTTTAGTATCGGTGGAATTTACCAAGATTTTTCTTTTCAAAACATTTAAGATGTTACACAGGTTATAACACAAATAATTGCACATCAATAAAAACAGCAAACACAGCGCTAACAGAAAACAAAGGCAAGAACTTCGAATTGTTACATAAAGACAAACTGCACAGCTGCAATCATAATTATGCAATGAACTAAAAGACAGGTGTGTGTTTACACTTTGAACCAAACAGAACTATCCATTTCACACGGATACATGTCTATACCACACCGTCCCCACTGCCTGAGCAGCGAAAGGCATTCCCAAAGCACATTCATCCCAAAACGAGGGCAGCCCTCCAAATGTTTGTGGAGATTTTTTTTCTAGTGTTGAAAAACTTGAGAACATTTTCTGAAATCTCTACCCAATCTTCAATTTTAGGGAAAAAAAACGATAGCGTAGCCTAGGGAAGTGTTTTTCTTTTCTCTTTCTCTGTATTTGCATAAACAGAAACAAGCTTGTCTACAATTTCTTAAGCAATCCCAATTGCACATAATACCCTTGGTTGGAAATATTTGGGGACAGCTTAATACAGGAGATCTCTTAACACGACCGTCGCCTTCTAACTACTTCACTCCTGTCTCCCAATTAATTTCTGTAGCACCCTAATTACTCTGTGCGACAACACCTCAACGCACAACTTTAAGGTATCCCTACCTGCTCCTGTTCCTCCTACGAACGAGCCGATTTCTAAGCCCTCTGCACCAGCAAACAAACGCCAACCGCAGCCGCAATGACCGAAAGAGGCCCAGGACCCCCC